GGGTTGTGTGTGTTGGGGGGGGGGGGGGGGGGTAGACGGAAGGGCAGCCACATCCCAGGTTGCTAAGAGCTCTTATCAACCTGTGGCTCTGTCAGCTCTGTCTGGCTTCCCACCCAGCTCGCTGATGTCATCGGTTGCCAGTGAGCTGAGCGTCCCGCCGAGCTCATGGCAACCAGTGATGTCAATGAAATGGGCTGGAGCAGACAGGGAGCTGTTGACAGGCACGGCTCTAAAACAGCCGCCTGTCCTACCGCATCAGTTGACACCCCTGCCCGTCCCAAAATCACTTTCAGCTCAGCAGCAACCCAACAACCTTCCCCCCTGGTCAATGCCCTCAGGCGGCAGTTAGGGTAGAGATGGCCCTAATTCCTGCACTTAAAGTGTATGTAAACCCTAACAATGAACTTCTTCTATTTAATCCTTTTCGTTCTGTTAAATATACCACTGAAAGCATTTTGAGGGGAATTTATCAAAATTGGAGCAGACAAAAACTGGAGCAGACGTACATGACATCCAATCAGCTTCTCTCTTCAGTTTGTCAGTTAAGATTTGAAAATGAAAAAGAGAAGCTGATTGGTTGCCATGCACAGCTGCTCCAGTTTTTGACTGCTCCAGTTTTGATCAATTCCCCTTAATGTGTTTATCTGTTCGATAATTGCAAAAAACATCTTCTGTTGATCCTGGCAAAAATCCAATGAACTTGTAACTTCCTGTACACTTTGCCTCTGCTGCTTTGAAATCTCAAGCATTGTTACCAGTACTTGCCCTGCCCCACTGCTCCTCCATAGATACAATACAGTGATTAAGCATTTTCACCCTTGGAGAGAAAGTTTTTTACTAGCAGGATCACCAAGTGAAAAAAAAATAATGCTGCTGCCACCACAGCTGCAGACTAGTAATCTGCAATATATTACATTTTTGTTCTTGGCTTTAGATAAAAAATTAGTGGTTTCATAGTGTTGGTACATACTGCCATCAGTTTCAACCTCTGTAGGTTCAGAAGTCACAGCAGCTTTTGGGCTCATGAACAGAGAGTTAAAAAAACTTCTGCATTCTCCATTCTGAGAGTTAAAAAACGTCTGCATTCTGTGCTTGTAAAAAATGACCCATTCACACCTAGGCATTTTGTAGCTCTAAACTTGAAGCTAAAAAAAGCTAAACACATGTAATCCCATTTGTTTTCTGCTGACCTGTCATCGACGGCGTCATCAGGTGTAACGACTCCAGGAGGGATGCGGCTTCCTCCAGAGTAGAGAACATTTGCATCTGGCCTTGGTAGGAGAAGCTCGTCTGTGTTCGTTTGTAGTTTCCAGACTTTCCCTTTGCAGATCTCCGCATGTCCGAGAGTAATCCTCTGTTCTGGTGGGGTCAAGTGATAGCTAGAAAAGCAGTATAATCGTGGTCACGCGTCCGGGTGTGGCGGAGCCAAGTTAGATTGCGGCCATCTTGGTTGGCTGCTCACTAGCGCCCCGTAATCCCATTGTTTTCAATGCCTGATGTTTACATCTGTGTGTTCTGTGGCTTGAAGCAAAACACCCACATCAACAGTGGGTAATTGGGGGCATAGCGTTCTGTTTAGGCATTTCTTCTTTTTTTGGTGTTCATATCTCTATAGGTTGAACTCAATGGACATGTGTCTTTTTTCAACCTCAACCCCTATGTAACTATGCAACCTGTAGCATGAAAAAGTAAATTAGCTTAATTTCAGGCCCCATTCTGCTTGCCCAATAGACTTTAATGCAAATGCCTTGAAGCACGCGTCACAAGCGTTTGTTTGGAGCGTTTTTCAGGCATTTTTGCATGACACCCCTTGTCCAATTATAGAACACACAGTACTCATAGAGAAAAATACTAGGCATCTTCTGAATGGCAGTTATACTGAGCAGTGGCGTCACAAGGGGGGTGCGGCCCGCACCCGGGTAACACCATTGGAGGGGTGACACCAAAATGACTGGCAGTCATTTTGGTGTCAACCCCCTCTGAAAGGTCGGGTGCTCGCTCATGGACCGAACGCCCGACAGTAACAGGAGAGGAGGGGACCCGTCGGCATACCTTATCCCGCCGAGTGACTGTCCCCTCCTCTTTCTGCCGGCGTCCACCACTAAGATGGCCATCGGCAGGTATCAGAAGATCGCCGCGTGATGACATCATCGCACGCGCACGCGGTGACGTCTCGGCGGAGTGACACCCGGTAACCGCTCCGGGTGTCACCCCGCCTCGGGACGCCCCTGATACTGAGCAAACGACAGTATTTTAACACCACTGGGAAGTCGTTCAACGTAGCAGCAGTAGTAGGGCCAGTGCTTCTGATACAAAGCGGCCATATGTTGCACTGACAGCAGGGCTCCACTGATTACACAGTGGGAATGCCATGCTGTTCCAGTTTAACCAGCAGAACTGAGCTATTATTGTGACAGCTCGGCCCTGCGCAGTGCAAGAGAGAGATGGGGCGATTCACAGACATGAATGATCTTGTATTCTCAAGATGGTCATACACTGGTAGATTTTCATACGAACGTTCATAATAAATATATCTTCAGATCATTCGATAATGCCAGAGAACTGACGAATGTCGTTCAAAATTTGGTTCGGTTTTAACATTTTGAAAATGAATGGAGTTTCCCCAACCAAAACCACATTCACATGTTAGAATTTCCTTTATTTATCCTTTATTTCCTTAACTGCATCCTGGTCCTTGGATTTTTTGGGTCACTACGGATGAAAACGATTGTCGATTTGAGCCCATTACCTTTGAAAAATTTAAACAAACTTTTTGAAAATGCATTTTTTTCGAATGAAATTCTACCGGTGTATGGCCAGATTTAGGGTGCATGTTTATGGAAAGATCATTCATAAGAAAGATCTTTTTATGGTCAGGGATATTCTGCAAATCTATCTGTTATAATCTATAATATAGAGTAAACGGTTGCTACAGTTTCAGCTTCACTCACTCAGGGGGGCAAGGTTCAGTGTTACATGGACGTTGCTTCTCCTGCATTCTCTGCCGTGCATCACACATGTCTTCAAAGGCAAGAGATCCATCTGCTATCTTCTTGCAGACAACATTCTGCATTTGTACTCCTGTAGCACAAGCAAAATAGAAATGTGATAAAGTGTGTGCAAAGCTAAAACTTTTGTTTTGGAGTGAAGAATGGTTTCTGTTTTTTTCACATCAGGGAGAATTCTTTTCACTTCTTGTCCCAGAGACACAACAGGAAGTAAGGGGAAATTACTCTGAAGCAAGGGAAACTCCCTTATTATTTATTATTATTATTTAGGATATTATTTAGGATTTATATTGGGCCTATAGATTGCGCAGTGCTTTACAAAACTGAGAGAGACAATACAATTTCAATACAGGAGGGTAGGAAGGCCCTGCTCGTGAGAGCTTACATCTCGTACGAGAATCGAGCAGTGTATGGGCACCTTAAGACTGTTATCACTGGAACAGGTGTCCCCATTGATTTCACCTCCTGCTCCTGTGACAATTCTAAAACTGTGGATTTTTCATCATTATCTGTACTAGAAAAAGTGGTCTCCGGTGTAGTGTGTACAGTGCACATTGTACAATACAGAGGAACCTTGATGAGGCAGTGTGGCTTTCACATATTTGCAAATATTGGCCATTTCTTCAATTTGGGTTCATATGGTGCCACTAATGGAACCCCTCTATACTGGCTGTGGGCGACAGTGTGAGACAGAAGGTTAAATGTTAGTTACCTTGGCTGTAACTGTCACCAGCAGCCCCTGAAAATATTTATGCTATCCACTCTTGGGACAAACATACAGGGGTCTTTTCACAAAGCTGCCATGGGCAGCCGAGTGAATAACCGACCCGAAGTGAAGTGAGCCGAACGCTGTTCGGCTATTCACTTCAGGCTTGTACTGCTGATTTCAGCCGGATACCAACTGAAATCAGCCGTACATCAGCTTGCTGAGGCTGGCTTCGGGTCAGCCAAACATGCTCATCCAACATCCAACATCTGGATCGACTGAGCTGAACCTCCAGCAGACTACTTGCTGCTGTTCGGACTATTCTCATAGATGCTGAACAGCAGTGAGTGAATAGCCGAATGCCGCCGTGCGGCATTTGGCTCGTCTATTCTGCCCGGTACCTCTGTGGTATCGAGCAGAATAGAAAAACAGTTAAAAAAGTAGAAAAAATAAAATAGAAAATGAATGGGCGGAGCTACCAGTGACAGCTAGCACCGCCCAACTGTTTTCTATTGGCCGGGCGGTTCTGCTGCTGTCAGAATTTAAAAAAAAACACCATAGGAATCAAATTGAAATAGCCAATAGCAATCTAGCTATGCATTCCTATGCTGGTTTTTTTGTTTGCTTTTTATTCTGACGGCAGCCAACGGCTCCGATGTCAGAAGGGAAAAAAAAAGACAACAGAGCAGGGAAAGGTTTACTCTGCTCGATCGAGCAGAATAAAACTTTCCGGGAGAAAGTGTTTCTCTCCCGGGCGGCCGGGAGCCGCTATCTAATAGCGGGAGACTCCAAAAGCGTCCGGGTGAGTAATGACCGATCAGCGTCCCAGGGTACGCTGATCTGTCTCTGCAAGTGGCCGGAGCCAGCCGTGAGATGATGGCTGGCTCCACACAGCTGTCAGTAGCAGGCTGTCGGACGGCCGACGGCCGGCCGTTTGGCAAGCTTTGGCTTTCACCTGGGCTCGACTGAGGCATATGCCTTCGGCTTGACTGAGCCGCTCAGCCAACTTCGGGAGCTGTACGGGCTATAGTGAATACCCCATACAGCAGCCCTTTGGTTCTACTGAACCGAAGGGGTCCTGGGGTCGAAGCTAGCAAGAAGGATTAGCCGAAGCTACGGCTAGATCCTTCGGCAGCTATGTGAATAGACCCCACAGTGTTGAACTTGCTGACTGGCTGGTAAGTGCTGAATTTGTTTGCTGACCTGCTGGAAACCTGCACCCTGCTTTAGGGCACTGTCACACCATGCCCGGACCAGATCTGCACGCGTTTCTGCAATGCGGTGCTTTTTGAAGCGTTTGTGATGCGCTTGTGACACGTTTTTGACGTGTTCCAGTGCGGTTTTTTTTTGGGGGGGAGGGGTACAGACTAATCTCTGAGGTCACTTCTTGCTCCATTTCCTAGCACTTGCCCTTTTTTTGTGGAGCTTGTGAGCAGACATGCTTGATTTGTATGCAGGAATGTTCTTTGTGATGGCTATTGCAATCCTGAAACAACGTACTCGCATGAGACCTACATCAAAAGAGCACTATGCATGCAATCATAATACATGAAGTGTTTGTACTCACAACAGCACTCCTTTTCGGCTCTTCTCATTAGTGTAAAATCAGGATAAAATTTGGACGCAATTGAATGCCATTTTTCAGTACTGCGTGTATTCTTTTTGTAGTCAGTGTGTTATTGGGTCGTATAGTTCAGAGAACTTTTTTTGTTCTCATTCTGTTGCGTTCCGGTGCGGTGCGTTTGTGACATGCAGTATTTATTTTTTCCTGCACTGGAACGGACTTCAATGGTGTGAACAGAGCCCAGAAATCATATACAAATGCATTGGGATCCATTTTTGGTGCGGAACAAAAAACTGTAACATACTGGATCTGATCCGGACATGGTGTGAATTTGCCCCTAACACGCTAGTTATTGATTGCTGAGACACACTGGAGTTCTTCAGCTGCCCTTGTGTTCTGGGCTTCTGGCCTGTCTCTGCATGTTAACCCTCTTCCCACCAGCCTCACACATACTGTATATGGCTGCCGCAAATATGCATCCGAGGGGCTCTACTGCTGGGAGCTGAGAGTATGCTCACTCTGAGCACACTGACCAAAGTGTCACAGACAGTTCCCGGTCACTGTAAACAATTGGGAGCCTGGATCCTTATCAGCTGTGTTGAATACTTTTGTAAGAAGAAAATCATAAAATGCACACACACTATGAAAATATTCCACCAAGAAAGTACAGAACTCAGAAACTATTCAATAGTGCTGTTGGTAGAATTGCACTGAATGGGAACTATATAATGTTTTTGCCGATTTATGTAGTCAAATTTAACTAACTTCCAAGCACCTGCAACACCCCTTACCTCTTACCTCTTGTCTATCAACTGCAATATATGAACATACTTTGTTTACCTCCAGCACATAGTGCAGAACATTTAGTCCACTGGGAATGCTGCCACATGTATCCACTCTCAGTGTGTCTACTGATTGGTGCATTAAACTTGTAGCGGATACCAAGAAACTCTTCTCTCATCATAACCTAGACAACAAAGAGCACAGTATGATTAAAACATGTTTAAGTCTGAGTAGCAGTGATATTACAATAGTCTAAGGCACCATTCACACTGGAGCGGCTGTCTGCATGTATTCGGCAGGCAGAATACGCGCGGAGCCAAGCTAAACAGAAAAAACAATGCACTTTAAATGTGAATTGTTCAGACATTTGCGGCGACCGTGCGGCCCACAAAAAACTCCAAGTGCGATTTTTTTTTACGGATTCCGCACATTCGTGGCTATAATATAATAGTTGCAAACGAGTGGAATCCGCGCGGATGAAAGATTTTAGCGTTTGCGTTGCCACGCAGTCTTCCGCACGGAAAACCATGTGGGAAATGCAAACGCAATATGTGAATGGAGCCTTAAACGACTTAGAGCACCTTACCACATAGTTGTTTCCAATTCATTGCAATCATGACGAACATATTGCTGAACCATAATAAAGTCTACGAGAGCTGAGTGTTGAAATGTTTTGCTAATTCTTGCTAATTTGCAAGCAATTGTTAAACAAGTGCAGAGGTAGTTAGGCACTGCCATAGGGAAAATGTACCTATGCAAACATAAAAAAAAAAAAAAAATACTGTTCAGTAGTGAGAGGGTCTTTTATTGCAGTTAAAAAGGCAACCTTGAAAACATACAAATCCTTCAAACGACATGCTTGGGGATACCTTAATGCTGCACGTGAAGCTAGGGAGCAATACCATGTAGACCTTTAAAAGTGGCATGTGTTTACAAGCAGTGGCCATAAATAGCACTACTTATGCTAAATGACAGATCCCCAACTGAGTTCTGTTTGTCAAAAAAATGGCCAGGGATCCTGGGTAATGCCATTGACCAAATATATTCAATCCATACATGCTTCCTTATCCAGGCATGCAGCCTAGGTGGACAGAAAATGGAGGGCAGAGAGCCTGCACCTTCCCTCCTAACCCAAAATAGATTGCTTGCCCTCAACACAGGGAAGGTACCTTGAAAGGCACCTTGTTCCTGAATGGGATGTGGGGGTTTGTAGGGGGGCTTATCGGAATCTGAAAGCCTCCTTTATAATAAGGGCCCCCCATATATCCGGACCCTTCTAGGGGAATTAGTACAGGGTACACAGTACTCTTTGATACTTAAAGTAAATAAAAGTACCCACACCATGACAATGCCCTTTATTTGGAAAAAAAAAGTTAACTCTGCCCCCCATGTAAATCCAACATCAATCACATTGTCTAAACAATTAAATTCAAAAACAGGTATCTGCCTATGTATTAAAATACCTTTTTTTGTGTTACGCTTAGGGTACATGTGCACACAAAGCTGCCTTTCATTTGTGACAGAACCAAGATCGGCACACTGAAAGAATATTCCTTCACACTATCTGGGTAGGGCTGAAGGAATGGTTTTAGATTAAGGCATTTAAGGGAAACCTGTGAGTACAGAGATTTGTAAGCAACCAATGCTAAGGGACATGGAAAGGTGCAAGCCCTGAGGCTGATATTGTGATCTAGCTTAATTACTCAGGAAGCCATTGGTCTGGAATAAACATGCAGGACAGTTCAGACATTAGTTGCATGCTTGTTCCAGGTAAGTGATTCAGTAGCAGGATCAGGAAGACAGACTAAACCTTTCGAAACAACTCAGCTGTGACTGCGCCCATATTTCTATAACACAGGTTCCTTTTAACAACCAAACAAATAAATTTTACCTTTATTGCTGATGTAATAATTTTACCAAAATTACTATTAACATATAGCCTCGAAGCTGTACTCAAACTTCATTATATATTACTCAAAATTCATGTAGTATATAATTCCACTCTGTGTGCACCAAATGCCCCTGCGAACCCAGATATTACCTTAAAAATTATAAGCGGCAATTATCATTTGTATTCACATAGCCTGAACAGACAGCGGAGCTGTGGGAGGGACCCAGCAGGTCCACCCAATACAGGCTGCCTGCATAAAGCTAGAGGAGGGGGCGGATGCAAGACCAGGCACCCTGCACAAGGAGAGAGAACAGCAGTGATCTTTATGAAAGGAATCTCCTGCAGGGACAACCTTTCATGCTCGATTATAGCACAAACCTGGTAGAAATATACAAAGTAAACCAAGTTTCATTATATGAATACACATGCCCCTTGTATTTAGGCAACATTTGCTTATTCTGCGGATCGGCTTTAATGAAGGTTTTTCTGTAAAAAGGACAGGTCCTTGGCAATGCATCAGTTCATCGGTCTATTCTTTCACATGCTTTCAAAGCAAACCTGTGCTGGGCAAAGCAAATTGTTTGCTTTGATTCCCTCTCCCCAGCAGCACATATTCACCCTTCCTTCATTCTCCAGCCGCATAATTATTGCAAAGCCTTGTTTTACACATACAAGAAAGCCAGGTGCTAGATGGTATTTTGGAGCCTGTGTATGACAACCAAAGAGTTTATGATTGTATCCTTGGGGCAGGAATGTTGAAAGAAAAATCAACTAGACAGTTTTAGATTTTGTTCTCAGAATAGCAATTATATGTTGTGATTTCAACGTCTGTGTCAAAGTCCACAGTCTGCACAGTACTTGCTCAACATTTACTTAAAAGTGAATGTGCATGTGGGTGAAAAAAATATCTTTTAGGGCTTGTTCACACTGTGCTTTTACCGTAACGCTATAATGTGAATGAGCCCAAAGAGCACAATCACTTAAACCTGAAACTCCTGTGTGTGAGTATTCCTATAGGCTAACTGTAAACACATTTTGCTGCCCCATTTGTACTTACTACACCCCCTGCTCCTGTCCTAAAACTTAAAAGATATTTGAAAAAAACATGCATCTGTAAAGAGGAAGCAATCAGTTATCCTCATATTATAAAGAGTAAAAACCACTGTGTGCAGCATTAGGTTGGCCATATACTTTAAGATTATTCTTGTTCAGCAATATTTCATCATAGAAAGGGTCTTAGGAATTCAGATCCTTCTCACAACACTGAGAGCTTCAGGGCTGCACACATTGCCAGTGCTCCCAAGCTACATCCTGCAGCATTAACTAGGTTCTCTAAACAGGGGTTTCTAAATCCTTCTGTAGGCATGGACTGACATTTACCCCTCGATCTTAAAGCAAAATCTAGGAGGCCTGATACAGTACATACTTTTCCAAGAATCCAGTCCTCTCTGACTTCTTCTTGGGGCACCAGTGGCATCCTATCCTCTCTTTTTGTGGCCACTTATGTATGATAGTCCGCCTCCCCTTAGATTGACAGCATTTGGCAGTGGGCAGATTCCATTGCCACTAGGTAGGCGGACCTGATGGGGAACTGGTCTCTCAGCATTACCCATCAGGCTTTGCCCACTATAAATCTAAGTATGTTTAGCCTTGCATCATTGGTTGTTTGGGCGCTGTTTGCTGACAGCGTTCTAGCAAGCAATGATGCATCCCTGACCCCATTCAGCTGCTGCCCAGGAGATTCCCTGACCAACAGCTAAATGTAAACAAAGATACGGGAATTCTGCAGGGGTGTGTAAATGTAAAAAAAAAAACTAAAGCGGGGGCAGAATCTACTTGGTAACCAGGGACGCTGATCTGTCTCTGCAAGTGGCCGAAGCCAGCCGTGAGATGACGGCTGGCTCCGCCCAGCTGTCAGTAGCAGGCTGTAGGCCGGCCAATGGCCGCCGTTCGACAAGCTTCGCCTTCGGTTCGATTGAGCCACTCGGCCAACTTCGGGAGCTGTACGGGCTATAGTGAATAACCTGTACAGCAGCCCTTCAGTTCTACTGAACCGAAGGGGTCCTGGAGCTGATGATCGCTGAAGGATCAGCCGAAGCTACGGCTAGATCCTTCTACAGTTTTGTGAATAGACCCCTTAGTCAAACATACACAATCGAGAACCTTTCCTTT